AGGATTTACGTCCGTCCACCATGGTGGTGGTGGTTTCACTGTCCTTAGACGCTGTGCTCTGACTTTTCATCCTACCTTCTCTCCTCTTATCTTCTGATACTCATCGATTGTTTTACTGTCTTCATAGTTTACTTATCGAAAATATTGTTGGGCTTATGTAGTAAGTAGCTTTTCTGAGACCGGTTTCTTTTACTTAGTAGTACACATTTAAGGCCTTTCTATGTCTTTTCATGGCTTGATCATTTCTTTTGAGCACTGAATACAATGCCATTGTTAGGATGTTCCACAATTTATCTGTTCACCTATTGAAGGACTCTTCTAAGTTCTGACAATTATGAGTAAAATTGTCCTAAACCACCATGTACAGATTTTTGTGTAGACATAACTTTTAACTGAGTCAATACCAAAGATTTATTATTGGTTAAATGTATGGTAACCCTGAGTTTGGTGTTGTCAGAGGTTGCCGAACTGTCTTCCAAAGGAGCTGTGTGATTTTACATTCTCACCACCATGAATGGGAGGGAGCCACTTGTGGCTCTACCTCCTCACCAGCATTTGATATTTTCCATGCACTGGAGTTAGCCATTTGGGAAGGCATGTAATAATATCTAATTGTTTCAGTTTTTCACTTCCTTCATGAAATATGATGTAGAGATTTTTTTTTTGCCAGTCCTGGGGCTTGAAGTCTGGGCCTGGGCATTCTCCCTGGACTCCTTGTGCTCAAGGCTAGTGCTCTACCACTTGAGCCACCATACCACTTCTGGCTTTTTCTGTGATTAATTGGAAATAGTCTCACAGACTTTTCTGCCTGAGCTGGCTTCAAACTGCAATCCTCAGATCTTAGCCTCCTGAGTAGTGAGGATTATAGGCATGAGCCACTGATGCCTAGTGAGAATCTTTTCATATACCTAAATGTAATTTGAATATCTTCTTTGTTTGGTGAGGTCTTCTCTTTGGTATTAAGGTCTATTAAGGTCTTTTAAGGTCATTGACTCATTTTTTTAATTGGGTAGTTTGCTTTCTTATTATTAAGTTAGAAAACTTCACTGAACAATTTGAGTAATAGTCTTTATCAGATATGACTTTCTACTTTCTTTTGTTGTGGTTGGTCATGGGGCTTGAACTCAGGGCTTGGGCGCTGTCCCTGAGCTTTTTTGCTCAAGGCTAGCACTCTACCACTTTGAGCCATAGCTCCACTTACAGTTTTCTGGTGATTAATTAAGAGATATGAGTCTCATGGACTTTCCTGTCCCAGCTGGCTTTGAACCTCAGATCTCAGCCTCCTGAGTCACTAGGATTACAGGCATGAATTGCAAGCACCAGGCTTCAGATATGACTTGCAAATATGTTCTCCCAATCTGTGACTTCTCCTTTTCTTCTCTTAATCCTTGGGCCTTTTTAGGCCATCTTGAGCAAGCCTTATCCAAACCATCCTTCTTTCTTTACATACATCCTAACCAGCTTCCAGCAAAGGAGAGATTCACTAGACCAGAAGAATATTGGAGGGGACCCCTTGGTTCCATGTCCCTTCAGGGGCGTGGATCAACTGCAAAACGACAATGACAACAACAACAACAACACCCCAAAGCAACATTGGATTATACAACTAGCCAACATGGTGGCCTGCTTATATTTTTATCCCTGAACTTGGCTCTCTCAGATCAGCTTACAGAACCACAAGAACTCTTTCTTTTCTAAAATATAGAACTCAAATTTTAAGAAATTATTGCTTTCAGCAAGGACATTTTCAGGACTGAGCTATATTAAAAGATAAGAATATTACCAATTCATTCTGAGCCTTTTGATCTAATCTAGCACAACATTCAACTCACAACTGACTAGCGTGACAAGAAATGAGACTATGGGGCTTCGTGCAGATTGATATCGATGAGTGTTTTCACCAGAGGCAATCACGATGATGGATGATTTCAGACACTGGTTAGATTTCCAGAGGAAAATACGCTTTGAGTGTTTGAGACACACTGAGATCCTCCTCCAAGACAGAGATGGAAAGGTGGCATGCTCCACAGTCTGTTCCATACAGTTCTGTATCCTTGGGATTCTGTGGGCACTAATGTTGCCTTGTAAGAATCAATGTCATCGTTGCACTGGTGATTAATTCTCTGCTATAGCCCAAGCATTTTCAAATCTCTCATCTTCTTTTGGCCCTTAGGGAATTCTGTTGGGTATTCACAAACTCCTCTGTTCATTCATTTAACAAATGCACCTGCTCTATGTGGCTACACACTGACAAGCTGGCATGGCCTGATGATAATTGATGCCTATGTTATAAGTGGACAGACAGAGCTGTGGCAAGAAGTTTGTGCCAAATTCTTCCCACTATTGAAAGCACAGGATAAGAACAGAGATTTTTTTTGGACCTTCTCCTTCCTTGTGGTCTCCTTAGTTCTTTTTGTTGTTGCTGTGGGACTTCAACTCTGGGCCTGGGTGCTTTCCTCTATGCAGGAAGCATATTGATTATAGGCTATCCTGGACTCCCAGTGGCTCTGACTCTACCCACTGAATGCTGTGTCTGTAGGAATTCATGGGTGTTCCTAAGGGTATGGGTGAGAGCTCATCTGGGGGTCATTTAAAACTTTAAACGTTAAAGAAGAACACACAGACACAACACCTCCTATCAGTATTTATCCAAAGGGAAAACAAACTTTAACTGTTACATTCACTGGCCAACAAAAAGAGTTTGATAAACATGAGGATTGTTTCTATGAAACAACTACATGCTTTGGGATGATTCAAAGAATGAGTTATTGAAACTCTTTTTACCATTGAAATTGAGGTGGATAAGACAGTTGTGAAAGTTTGGGGAATAAAATTCTAGAAGGATTCTGCACTTGAGCTGTTAGAAGAATGACTCTGCATTCTCATTCTACTTAAAAGAAAGGAACAGCTGATACTGTCAGCATTTTACATTCAGACTAATTGAAGGGTGTGGGTTCTTCTTTTTCTGTCACTGGATTTGACCTCAGGACTTTGGGCTTACTGAGCAGGTGCTCTACCACTTGAGCCACATTTCCAATCCTAATTGAGGATTCTGACAAGGAAGAAGATAGACCAGAAAGTGTTAACTGGTGGATAAGTCATTCACAATCATGTAAAGCTAAGTAGGAAGGGGAAACAGAAGAGCTGTTTAATTAAAAGGTGTAGCAATTCATGCAGGGGCTAGCAATCAATGCCCTGTGTGTTTCATGGATTGAAGAATAGCAAAACTAATAGTTAATGATGTTGTAATGAAACCATAGGAGAGCCATGCCAAGAAAATTACTTCTGAGCAATAGAAAATTACTGATTTGATTAAATAGATACAGTAGGGTTTAAATCAGAATGTAATGTTTATGGTATGTACATGGTGTTTGACTGGGTGTGAGGGGAGGGGGATACTGAAGTTTGAGTTCAGGACTTCTTTCTCACCAGGCTCAAACTCTACCATTGAACCACATGCCCAACCCTTTCGTTAAAGCTATTTTTCGAGCTAGAGTCTCACACTCTTTGCCCGACATTAGAGTGAGCTCCTTGCCTCCTAAGTAGGTGGGATTACAGGCATGTTTCCACCATATCTGGCATGTTTTTCAGATAACATCTCACTCACTTTTGCCTTGGCTAGCCTTGAACCACAATCCTCGTGTCTACATCCTCCAACAGCTGGGATTGCAAGTATACACACCATTCTTGATTCTGTACGTGTTATCCCCCCTAATTGCTCGCTCTCCCCTACTGCGTTTATCTTATTAAAAAAAAACAACAACAACTTTGTATTTGGCAAGAGGAGAAAGGCACAGACATACTTTAAAGGAAGCCCCTAGCTTAAAGTATTCTGTATATTTTGAGTGTATTTTAGGGGAATGGAGAATGTGCTACCTCCTGGAAAATAGAAATACTAGTGGCCTCTATTATGTCGGTTGAGGAATTATTAGATAATAGATTTATTAAGCCACTCATCTTTAGTAATCTATGAAAGAAATGCCAGAAGATTGTGACTAGAAAAATCCTTGGGTTTCCATGGGTATTTCACTGTGCCTCCATCTTGGCTTTGGTAATTAGGGAGACGTCTCCCCACAGGAATTTTCTATATGCCTCTAGGTGTTTTAGTCAGACGGTACCAAACATGGGGGGGGATGATGTCATATGGAGGAGTGACAGAAACTTTATGTCTGAAAAATATTATTGAAGCTGGGTCACAATAGAGAAAGGCTAAGCATGTTGGAAAATCAAGGAGCCATTCTGATATTCGTGTCTTCTAGGCAGAGGACACATTGTTTGCTATACTGAGTGTTGGGGAGTTTAGGGCTTGTTGGGTTGGAGCAGTCATTTTCACCAGGGAGTGTTTCTGGAACCTTAGTCTTTAAGACAGCAGAATAATAAAAAGTGACAGGTTTCCTAACATTTGTTGAACTTTCTCTCTCTCCAAATGGTCTGATAATTAACGACTGGTTACTTCCAGTCGCTCACAAAGAAATGACAAAACCCCAAAGGAGTTGAACACCCTTTAAGGGTTCAGAAGGAAACAGTGATTTATCAGCTTCTCCTCTCTTTATAGTTTTCTGAATCTTCTCCCCGCCACCTCCCCCAAGAGTAATTTGTTTTTAAAATAATTTACTCTTGTTTTAAACAATTACTCTTCCTTAGCCTTTGCTTGCAAGGCTGGTTCTCTGCTCTGTTGATGGTTTTGTTGTTGTTGTTTGCTGGTTCCATAGGCGGTAAGGAATCTTTCTTGCCTGGCAGGGCTGGTTTATGAACTGAGGTCCTCGAACACGTCTGTTTAAAGCTGTTCTTGAGTAGCTGAGAGCTGCGGGTGCCCGGCCCCAGTCATCTTGTGTTTTATAAATGAATGTTAAGAGAATGGTTCCGCCTGTGCTCCTGACCAAGCTCCGGTGGCTCCCTGACCTTCCACAACCGAGCCTTTGTTACACAGGGCACACTCACTTTATAATGCGGGTTGTGGTCTGTGATGATTCTGCGACCCGGCCGCCCTCTCCCGCCAGGCCCACGACCCGCGCCGGCGCGGGAGAGTGGCTCCCGGGCATGGCTTCCCTCCCTCCGTCACCTCCGCCCTTCTCGCGCCCCGCCGCCTCCGCGGGCCCTGCGCTCCCGGTTGTCCCGCGGCTGTCCCCGCCCTGACTCGACCTCTCCGGTCCCCGCAGGCACCGTGACGGGAAACAGCAACTCCACGTTCATTTCCAGCGGGCAGGTGATGAACTTCAAGGGCGACATCATCGTGGTCTACGTGAGCCAGACCTCGCAGGAGGGCGCGGCGGGCGCGGGGAGCGGCGCGGCGGGCGCCGAGCCGGAGCCGGAGCCGGAGCCCATGGCCTGCCCGGTGCAGGAGGAGACGCTCGGACACCCGGACTCGTTCGCGGGCAACGGGCCGCGCTTCCTGGACACCTGCGCGGGCCCCGGGCTGCCGCCGGAGCCCGAGAAAGCATCGCGGCCGGTGCAGGAGCAGGGCGCAGCCGAGGCCTGAGCGCGCCCCGGCGCCCCTGCAGCCCCGGACCCGGGTCCAGCCGGGAACGCAGCCCACCCCCACCTCCCCAGCCCCGGCCAGGCACCCGACTGAGCCCCAGGCAGGACCCAGAGGCACACGTGGGGGCCGGGCTGGCCGGTGTCCGCCCCCTTCCTCCTGCCCTCCCCAGCGAGGATCGGTACCTGAGTGCACAACGCCCGACCTTCTCTCCACCCGACCCCGGCCTCTGCCTGAGCCGCTGTGCGGTGGGACTCCTCGCGTCCCCTCCGCACGCCGGGCGGCCGCGGGTCGGACCCTCTCCCTTCCCCAGCCACCCCCACCCCGTTCTGATTTGTGACTTGGTGACGTTTGTTTCGGGACCATCTTGCTCGGTGGAGATCTGCATCCCCTCCATATTTATAGTTCACTTTTTTTTTTTTTGTACTCTGTGTCTTGTTACTTCTTCCCCTTCCTCCACCTCTTCCTCTTCTTCCTCCTGGACTGTTTAAGGAGTTTTCTAGAAAAAAAAATTGTCTCAAAGGTGCCAGTCTCTTTTACAGATTTTCTTCTGTGACCCTTCTCAAGGCTATTGGGCTTTGAGTTTCTTTTCTTTTCTTCCTTCTTTGGGTGTTGGTTTTGTTGTTGTTGTTTTGTTTTGTTTTTAAACAGGGGCTCATCCTGTAACCCAGGCTGGCCTGGGATTCCTGAACTTCCTGCCTTCACCTCCTTTAGTGCTGGGATTACCGGTGTGCACCACCATACCTAGCTTGGGACTTTCATTTTATGAAAAATATTCAGTGTATTCATTTTTATAAAAGAAAAAGGGAATTTCCTTCTTCTGATTTTTTCTTTTTTTGGTGGTACTGAGGGTTGAACACAGGGCTTTGCCCGTGCTGAGCACACACACTACCACTTGAGCGACAGTTCCACTTCCAGCTTTTTTGGTGGTTAGTTGGAGATAAGAGTCTCACAGACTTTCCTGACTGGGTTGGCTTTTAACCCCAATTTTCAGATCTCAGCCTCCTGAGTAGCTAGGATCACAGGTGTGACCCACCAGTGCCCAGCTAAGCATGTATAGATTCTTGAAAACGAAGTTCAGTGAGTGACCTTCTCCCCTACTTGGTTTATTTGTCCTCACTGACAGAGGCAGTAGGCACTTGCCAACTAAATCACTAAAAATGCACATTTCTGCTGTTGGGCATTTTACTGCTTGATGTTTCTCTAGAAAGGATGCGGACAAAGAGCAGGATGTGGAACCAGGCCACCTACAGAGTGATAAGAAGGTGCCAGGGAAGTTGACGAAAGAAGGAATAAAGTTTTCTAGCTCAGAATGTCATATATGTGACTAGGCAGCAAGCTCTCTTTTCTTCGGAAGCATGAGTTGTGCATTCTGCCATTTAACCTTATAGAAGTAAAAGACAATCCTCCTCGCTTCCAGTGCATTTGAATTACAAATTAAATCCTCACACTGCAGATATAAGAAAATTATCATGATACAGGTGCCCTTCTCATGGCCTTGATCATCTTGCCAGGAAACACAGATAAGTCAGACCGAAAGAAGTCACCTGGGCAGAATTCTCTACTGTGTCCAGTGAGCACCAGTTCTCATTAAGTGCTGGGGGAATAGTTCAAACACTTTTCTGAAGCAAATTAAAAATAATTTCGCACATCTGGCATGGATGGGAGTGTTAAAAGTGACCATTGATCAAACTTCAGAGGCCATCAATGCCCAGCTGGAGTGAATGGCCAGTCCTCACTGGTTTCTTGCTCCACATTGTACTTTTCCTGGAAATGGTGGTGGTTGTAGCGGATTGTGATTTTTAATACAAGAACAGAGGACAGCTCTAGTTTCTGTGACTTGGCAGGAAGTGATTGCAATGCTATGATGAGCCACTGGTGGGAAGTTATCAATTGTTATGCTCTTGTGTGTGTGTGTGTGTGTGTGTGTGCGCACACGCACATGTGCGTGCACGGGGGTTTGAACTCAGGGCCTAGAGTTTTTGCTTGTTTTTTTTTCACTCAAGGCTGGAGCTCTACTACTTGAACCACACTCCCACTTTCAGCTTTTTGATGTTGAGTTAAAGAGTCTCACAGACTTTCCTGCTCAGTTGGACTTTGAAGCACAATCCTCAGATCTCAGCCTCCTAAGTAGCTAGAATTAAACGCGAGGGTCACCTGTTGTGATTTTATTGAACATCATCCGAAGAGAGATGTTACAAAATAGAAGTCATTCTATCGTTTGAAATGGAATAATATTTAAACAGATGAAATTAGAGTTTACAAAATCAGATGTGGAGCTAATATGTTACCTTCTTCTGTGACAGTCTTCAGTTCACTGACTGAGACTACTCTGCTTTTCACTTTTTCTTAACTTTCACTTCTCTTTCTATAAAGAGGCTGCAATGATAATTTATCATAGTTTCCCTAAACAGAGACAGCAAAAGGATATGGCAGCAAAGTTCGAGTACCTTGGCTACTTCAATGAAAGGTGCTACAGGAACACGTTAAGAATCTGCTTGCAGAAGGGTTAATGATGTTTCCCACACTGATCTCTACAAATTCTGCCGTGTTCTAAAGTCAATTAAATGATGGGGAAAGAATAGCAAATCTAGGTCTGTGTCTTTGTGTTATACAGCTATATGTGACAAATGTAAGCTGAATGAATGAGAGCAATAATAAATTGCTTGGGGACATGATGAAGACATTATTAAACATATTTGACCAGAAAACATTATTTTTTTCATAGCTTGTTAAAACAGGGCTCAGGATCCAATCATGGTCTAAATTATTCCTAATCACAATGGTATACTGTGTGGTCCAACATTTGTTTTATTGTTGTATTGATTGATTACAACAGAATTGTGAGAATTAACAAATTACTTCTTCAAGGATGTGTGTCTGCTGTTGATCTCATAAAATAATTATTTAAAATACAGTCTGGTTGTCTAGTTAAAGGGAAATAGAGTGTAACATTTCCTACCTACATTTAACTCAGCTACCAGAAGAAGGGAGGGTGTTTTTCTCTCTACCTGGGAATTTCTCTCTTGTGTGAATGTGCTATGAGGAATCTTCTTGTTGTGTTAGGGGAAGAGGGATTCCTGCTGTATAACAAACTACCCCAAAAGAAGGGCTTAAAAACCCTCTTACTTATTTGTCTCACAGTTATATGGATGGATTGACTTGGGGTTTCAATGCCCTGTCCAGCTGGGCCTGGCTTGCTCCCTCATTTGTAGTGGGCAGGCTAGTTGGCTGCGTTAGGCTGGGCTAGCCTGAGCTCTTCTATCTGGTGCCTTATACTTCTAGCTACGGAGCTGGGCTAGTTCTTATGTGGTATCAGGGCCTTGCCAGAGCAAGTGGAAATACACCAGGTTTCTCGAGACCTAGACTCTGCCTGATACACTTGACTTACCACCTTGCATTGGGTTGCAAGGCAGCTCAGATTCAAGAAGTGGGGAAATATCCCTTCCCCAGGGCAGCGTGGTAGAGTGACATTGGTGAAGGGAAGAGGGGAAGAATGGGAACCCCTCTCCGGTTTGTCTACAGAGGGGCATCCTTCGGTATAAAAGCTATCTGGGGACACCAGGTGCGTTTCCAGCCTCTGATATTCAAGGATTTCCTTCTCTGGTAACTACATTCCTTTGCTGTCTAATATTGTGTCTACCTCCAATGGGAGACATTCCCACACTCATATTTAACCATCCAAGTCCCTTCCAGAGCTAATGGAGATGATTTGGGAACTGGGCCTACAGAATTTCCTCCACGTTCTGTTAACACACACACACACACACACACACACACACACACACACACACACACACACACACACACACACACACACACACCTGAAGCACCATTCCTGTACTTGTAAAATCATGACAACTGGAGAAGTCCAAGGAACCAAGTCCACCAGAGAGCAGACCTCTGATCCAACAAACAAGCTCATGATTTATGATGATCATATCCTGGGAAAAAGGGTGAGATGGAGCCGGTGGCGGACTCTCATGCATCCACTGTGTAGTGCCGTGGGTGCTGCTGCACTTTGCAGAATCTGATCAGGGGAGCCGTGATCAAACTTCCCGGTCCCTGCACGGTGTTGATGAGTCATCTCTTCTGCTTACAAGACTTTTAATATTTGGGCCTTTTTGATTTCCCTGAGACAGGAGCTGGAAGAGGGCTGGGAAGCTGGGAGGCGGGGAAGACGCATTCTAGGGCACGGAGAAGGCTGATGGGAAGGGGCATCTCTGGGAACCCCTGGCCCCAGGAGAGTGGTGGTGAACAGGTTACCTCGAAATTACTAAAGCCTTGAGAAAAAGAGGTAGGATCTGAAAGTGGGTGGGGAAGGCAGGCGGAAATGAGCACAGCCCGCATCCAGATGACATCATTGCCCAGAGGCTGGGGGGTGAAAACCCCCGGACAACTCTCCCAGAAGCCCTGCCAAGGAGCTACCTCTCCCAGCAAAGCAACCATGTCCCCAAGGCTGGAACCACGAGAATAGGACGTCTACATGGCCTCCCGACTGCCCCTTGTCAACCCTGTACAGTCGTGTGAGTAGTCTGGTGAGTCTGATTTTCCCTTTCTTCCTCCCTCCCTACTCTGCAGTATCTTGGCCCCAGAATACGGTGGAAATTCATGGCTGGCCAGTCTCTTGTCTCTATTTCTTTTAGCAAGGCTACCACAAAGAAGCCAGGGGGCCAGTGGCTCACACCTGTAATCCTAGCTACTCAGGAGGCTGAGATCTGAGGATCACGGTTCAAAGTCAGCCAGGGCAGGAAAGTCCATGAGACTCTTATCTCCAATGAACCACCAGAAAGTGGTGCTGTGGCTCAACTGGTAAAGTGCTCACCTTGAGCTGAAGAGCTCAGTGACAGTGCCCAGGCCCAGACTTCAAGCCTCAGAACCAAAACAACAACAAAAATGACAAATTACGGGTCTTGTGATTCTGGCCAAGGAGCTGGTGAAGTTACACTCTTCCTCTATGGGATGGACCAAGTAGAAGATTCTCAACCAGCTCTGACTCGCAG